CAGCCCTGGGCTGGCTGGAGCGATACTGGAGCGATACTGGAACGATGCTGGAGGGAGTGTTGCCTGGTGGAAGTGAATCAAACGATGAAAACATCAATGTTAGGAAGGGGCACCTGCAGAAGGGGGGGTTGCATTTCACAGTCTGAGGTTTCAGATACGTGACCATGCTTCAGGAGCTCACCTTGTTTGATGTTTTATGGTTGGACTCGATGATCTTGAAGGTCTTTTCCAACCTAAATGATTCTACTGTTCTATGATTCTATGATTCTGTGTTGGTGGGACTGAAGCAGGGGCTGTGGGCACAGCTCAGGTCACAGCGGTGCAGCCGTGGAGCTCGAGAGGCTGTGGGAACCTGCTGGCTCAGCAGCTCTGAGCATCTCACTGTGGCTCTGAGACAGGCTGAAAATCCCCCGTAGATGTCACTACAGAGAAACCTGCTGTCCTGGGGCCAGTTGCCTTCCCTCGACTTTCGTGATTTCTGCTCCCATGGGATCAGCAGCACTGTTTTTTTATCTCAAGGATGAAGTTTATTTATTCTCAGTCCAGTTGATTTATTCCTGTGAAAGTCTCAATAAATTGCACTAACCCACCATGGGTATTTTGCCATGGCACTGCCCATGGGCCCACCTCAGCACCTTCAGGGCCAGCTGAAAGATCCCTGCCTCCTGCTAAATCGTCCACAAACCCTCCATGACCGGCAGGCTTGAGCCCACGTTTTGCTGTCCTTGGGCTCCTGCTCTGCAGAGGCTGGGGCGATGGCAGCCGTTTCAAACAGGATGTCCTCTGTTTGCTTCTGGAGAGCGGTTTATTGAAACTGCAGAGAGTACCTGCCATGCCCTGGAGAGAAAGCGCTGAGATTTAAAGCCGCAGAAGGCTGTCACAAGGCAGAGGCACAGCTCTTCCCTCTGCTCCCCACTGGTTTAGGGCTGTAAAAATTTGCAGCTGGTCCATCCATGGTGAGGGGACTGGAGCATCTCTCCTACGAGGAGAGGCTGAGGGAGCTGGGCTTGTTCAGCCTGAAGAAGAGAAGGCTGCGAAGGGACCTTATAAATGCTTATAAATATCTCAAGGGTGGGTGTCAGGAGCTGAAAATATTTTCCCCATCTTTCTTGTAGGCCCCTTCAGGTACTGAAAGACCCGCCTGGACAAGATCCTGTGCAGCCTACTGTAGGTGACCCTGCTTCAGCAGGGGGGTTGGACTAGATGACCCACAGAGGTCCCTTCCAACCCCTACTATTCTGTGATTCTGTGATCCAAAGGCAATCAAAGACATGTTTGTAATCAACCGGCGAGAGACTGTGGAGCAGAGCTGAGTTTACCCCGCTCCTGCCCCTCGCTGCCTTCTGGGAGCGTGGTGCTGGGGTCTGCAGTGAACAGCCTAAGCTGAAGGATTTATTAATATCAGGTAGCAAATCAGTGTCAGAGCTGGGAACAAAGGTCTCGGCACCTCCTGAGGCCTTTGGCCTGGGTCAGATTAGGTTGACAGTCAGGCAAAGTCTCCACTCATTTTCCAAGAATCTCTGCCCGCCGTCCTGATCTGCCAACATCTCTGACCTCTGTCCTTGGTTGTGAGCATCTCTCACTTCCCTCCTTGTTTATGAGCAGCTCTGATTTCCATCCTTCTCTATGTTGCTCAGGCTTTAACCCAAAGTGGGATGAAGAGTTTACGTTTGACATAGAGATCCCTGCACTTGCCCTGGTCCGGTTTGTGGTGGAAGACTTTGACATGTCGACCAAGAATGACTTCATTGGGCAGTACACCCTTCCCTTCACTAGTCTGAAGCAAGGTAAGGCCCTGCTCCCTGTTCCTTGCAACGCTGAGCCCTCTGGGAAGCTCCAGTGTCCTAGATGAGAGGTCCAGACTCATCACACCTTGGGTCAGAACAGGTCCTCTCTCTGGAGTATGGGCAAGATGCTAAATGGTTTATTGGGCAGCTGTTGACACTGTCTCTGGGGAAGGAGTCCCCTTATCACCAGTGGCCTCGGGCGCGTTACGTTGCCGATGCTCAAAGCCATGCCTCTCAGACCTGCCTGTTCTGTGGGGTGCTGGGAGCAAAATGCTCTGAGGCAGGGAGATGTTTCTGCAGAGTCTTGTCAAATGTTAGTAAATATTTTCCTAGCCGGACTAAAGGCCACTGTCCATCTGTCTCTGCTTCCAGGTTACCGCCACATCCATCTTCTGACCAAGAATGGAGACCCATACTCCTCCTCCACGCTTTTTGTGTACATCAGTATTGAGGACTGTGATTAGCAGCTCAGATCTTTCAGGGCACGGTGAACCTCGTCACAGACCTAGAAGGAAGTCAGTGCGGAACTCTGCCAGTGTCAGGGTCTGTCAAATCCCTTCTCTGGAGCAGCACACGGTGCCCCATAGGACCCCTGATGTGAAATAACCATCGACCTTCTCCCTTCTGCGTGCTGGGAACATCCTAATGCTGCTGTTGAGATTCATCCTTTTGTACCTGTTCGACCAATCCAGCGGTGTTTTTAGTTCACTGTATTTAGTGTGGTTTTTTAAATTCTGCTTTTAGTGAGAGGATAGGGACTCCTTTTTAAGCAAAGTACAGCTCTTGGATTGGGTTCAGTCAAACATCTGGACAAAACACCCAACATCTGTGCAAGAGGAAAGTCCACCCCACCACTGACATCTGTGGCCAGGTGCCAGGTGACTTCTTGCAACTTCAGATGCCAGCCATCTTTCACCATATGAAGTCTTCAGTGGGGACACAATTCTCCTCTTTTCTGTAGCAGAATGAAAAAGAAAGCTGCACTACAAAGGCCCGTGTTATATAACTCGGCTTTCCTTTTGTATTATAGTAAAAAAATACATGAACACTACTCTGCCTGCGTGCCTGGCTCCCAGCCGGGCGCTTGGCATTCCGAGCCTGGCTCTCGTCCTGTGAAGGAGAAAGAAACTGCCGAACGGCCGATTTCCCTCTAACCCGCAGTGAGACCCGCTCCGAGGGACCTCAGAGAACGTCTTTTGCCGACGACAGTGAAAATACGCTCAACTGACAGCAGGGCTTTTCCTTAATGCAGTAGAACTTTGTGTTTTTGTAGAAAAACATCATTTTTTAGCACAGAGGACGTGGCAGTAGGAACCATTGTAAATGTTAGCCTGGTCCCAGTTGCGCTGTAGAGTAACCTAGCACAAACGCAGTGTTTGGAAGAGCAACCCAGTATTTATGGCAAAAGGTGATTTTCCTTCAAGCAGAACTACAGAGTTAAGGGAATATTGTTGAAATAAAATAATATATATTTTGAAGTGCCAACTATGTTACTAACAATATGTTAGACTATTAAAAGTAAAAAAAGTCTGGAGAAGTCTGATTATTTGTCACTTTTTGCCTCTTTGTCTTACTGGCATGCAGCACATGTGAACCTGGGGACAGACCTGCTTGATTTCATAAAGCTGTCAGTCTTTCTGGGGTTTTTCGTGCCTGGTGGTGGAGAGGACGGGCTGCTGCTGAAGAGGTTAATGTCCTTTTAAACAAATTGCATTCCACTCACTCCCCCACCTATTTCTGAGTCCAGAATAGCCTGGATTGAGCGATCCTTGGGCCCACTGCAAAACTGGGTTTCATTTAGTCCTGCCTGGAGTTTGTTACACTGCAGTAATCATTGCTGGACACATTGATTTTTTTCCTCTTCACTACAATATTGTGTGATGTTGTAAACCATTGCCAGATTAAATGTGAGTTACATCCACAACCCAAAGGCTCACATTGAGTTAACAACCAGCAGTTGAAGGAGTTCAAGTGGCAGAGTCTGGCGGGGCAGAAGTGGGTGTCCTGCAGGGACACGGGTGTTCTCCCAGCTCCCTTCTGGATGGGGCACGTTGTGTCAGAAGATGCATTTGAAGGCCAAGGCTGAAGCATCCTCGACTCCAACTCAGGTCCCTGCTCCCAGGATGCTCTGAGCACTTTGTTTTAAGGAGCCATGGGACAAAACACATGACTGAAGGATACCCAGGGCTGCCCTGTACCACGCAGGGACCTCGCACCGTGCTGCCTGGGAGCAGGTATGAGCAAGTCGGATCAGCCCACTGAGTTGGCTGAAAACAATTTATCTGTGGTTTTGGTGTTGCAGGATTAGATTTCAGTTGGGTTATTGAGCTAAACCAGCCCTCAACTGCCTGCTGTGGCCAGCACTAGAGAATGGGGGACAGGGAGTGTGGAGAGGGCTTGGGGCAGGACCACACTGTGCAGGGCCTGGGTGGGCTTAGATGGACTCCACAGAGAGGCAAGGGTTTCCTCTGCCTGCTGTGCACTTCACTGAATCGCAGAATCACAGAATGGTCGGGGTTGGAAGGGACCTTTGCGAGTCATCTAGCCCAACACCCCTGCCGAAGCAGGGTCACCTACAGCAGGCTGCACAGGACCTTGTCCAGGCGGGTCTTGAATATCTCCAGAGAAG